ACACTATTGGAAGATGACATGACCATCAAGTGTTACCTCGATAACAGCTCTATATTGAAGAAGCTACTAGAATTTTGTTTTTGAAGATTTATTGGTTTTATCTTTTAAGAGATTATAACATATTTCAACTATACTAGTAGAGAGACATAGTTTAGAAGAGTTACCCTTCATCTTATCCTAGGTCTCTCGCTCGCTCCTGGTCTCATATACACTCTCACATTCACCTAAATTCCCCACTTATAGTTTCATTTTCGTCTTCATTTTACCAGTCTATGTTAAAGTGAACACTGAAGTTGACACGATAATCTAAAAACATCCTCGAAAAAAGTTCTTAAAAGCTGCTAGCCCAAAGCAGCAAACATTAAATGTCGAAGCGCTACATTTATATAGTTCGTTGCGTGTGCATCCAACGTTCATATTTTACTATCTTAACAAATGTATTCAGAATCTACTTTATGACGTAGTGATTTAGACAGCTGGAAGTTGCTAGAAATTCTTTCGAATTTTCATGGAAACCTTGAAGTCCGAAATGATAAAAATATTGTCAAATCTGCAACATTGGTTTTCGTTCGTATGCAGTGAACTCCGTAAAAAATGGTATTGTTTCAGTTGAGAACTTAAGTTTTATTTTGTATCGAGATAATTAATCAAAATGAAAACAGCATAAGAAGTTAGTTTTTGCTTTCTTCAGTGCAGCTCTGTAAAGTCAGCTGATAATAGACAATGAATCATATGAACAATTAAACGATTATTCGACAGCGTGTTTTTTTTTGTACAAACATCTAGAGAACCAGTGATAGAGTTCTCGTAGTAATGAATTTCGCCGTGTCTACTTTTTGATCCACTGATCCAGACATAATTTTTTTCTATACATTGATATAAAACGAATGCTAATTCTAGTAAACTTTAAATATTAATAAGAAAGTCATATTTTGTATAAATTCATAAAGATTAATATTCATGATCGACATTCGACGCTTCGAACTGCATTTCATAGCCAAATAAAACTAGAATGCCATCTAGTTTATTTTTACCAATTTAAGTTTTATGATCATCAAACTAAACTATTCAGAATGTAAATAATCAATTTCGCAATTATCTTGAAAGATATCTTTTTTCACAAATACTTTTTTTTGAGCAACTGTAAATAATCTATTTTAAATCAGTGTTTCGATAATGTTACAGAGACATCAATGATCAAGAAATATATGAACAATTTCTAAACCATTATAAATTAGTATTTTATAATTATTGTTAGCAATTTCAGCGACTTTTCCAACAATTGATTGCATAATATCATTGGCTAGAGCAATATCAACTTCTACACCATCATTATGACGTTCATGTCCAACATGAATTTTACGACGATTTTCACTTGCTGTTACCCATGGTACATAATAACCAAATGTAGCTGGTAATTGTGTTAATAAATAATTATATATATCATTTAAACCTGTTTTTTCTGTATAAAACAATTCGATTAAATTACCGAATATTGCATAAGCTAATAAATATTGTTTTAATTCTATTGCAGTTCGTGCTAATAATGATTGTAAATTAACACGTTCCAATTGTTGTTCATCAATTAATCCAAATTGATACATTACTGATCCATAATCCCATTCATTATATGGATCTATAAGACCATCACCAATAGCCATACCTTTAAGATTTATTTTTATTTTTGCTTCAGGATTTTCAATATGAATTTTATAAACAATAGCTGGAACATATTTTCCACCATAGGATTCACCAGTAACATAAAATGGACACATTATATATTCATTATATAATTGAAAGAATTGTATTAACATTGCATATAAATCACGAGCTACTTCATCTTCATTACGTACATAACCTTGTTCACTTTTAGTAAAACTATAACCTGTTCCAACTGGTTGATCAATGTAAAGTAGATGATATTTTGAATTCCATGTTATATTACTCGGATGAAGTTTTTCTTCTTTATCAACCATAATGGGACCATGTTCAGAAAATAATCCAAACAAAGATGATGAACCTGGTCCACCTTGTAACCATACAAGTAATGGTGCATTTATATTACCATTTTGTGAAGGAAAAAACCAAAAAAATAAATTACTTTGATGAGTTTTATTTACTGTTAAATAACCAGAATAAGATGGATATGAATAATCTGGTTTTAAATTGATATAACTTAAATTTTTTGCTTGATCAATTTGACCAGCTTCAATGTAAGGTGTTAAGAAGAGTGGTTCACCTGGATCATCATTTGGTTGAATAGGTGTTTGTGGAATATTTGCTAATAGACGACGAAGTGGATTAAAACCTTGAGCAGAATTAAATAGATAAACAATGATGAATAAAAATTGCCAAAAGAACATCATAAGCTATTTTGCTGTATGTGCGTTGTGATTTCTTATCAGTAGTTTAAATAAAAGAAAATAGAAGAAATGTGTTTATGAAAATAAAAACACGGTTGTCTTCATCTACTTTCTGTGTTTGCAGTTTGTCAATAACGAAGGAATACGAAGTGACAATAAGAATGATAATAGATGGAAGAGCGTCATGATAAGATGGTAGATATCATCGAAATCACACTTTTTTTATATGTAGGTTAATATGTTATTTTTTCAGATTGTCGTTAAACATATATGTGAAATTAGTACATTCCTTAAACCTTCATTCTTTGAACTAGTCGTTTTTTTCCAATAAAATAAGTAAAAATAATTGTAATTTAGAAATCTATTTAGATTAACGAAAATAATTCCACTTTTAATATGTATTGTTTGTTGAATTTCTCAGAAAGGAATAGAAAAAAACCACACATATCTGAGCAAATAGCAATTTTATTGCAAAGTTTGAAGACAATTAGGTCGAAAGATGAAAGCTGTCCAAATGAAAAACTGAGTCAACCATTCATTAGAGCATACCAACCTACCTCTATAAACAAAGTATTTCTACACTTCATGCATCAAATCTGAAGATAAGGAAGACTTTGAAAAGACTTATAATTGCAGAGTATACCTTGAGAAAAAAAAATCTTAATTTCTTTTCAAAATATACATTATCACATATCAGTTGATAGATTCAATAAAGCATCAGTTTAATAAATCTTGAAAAGGCTATAAAGTCTCAAATTTAGGAAAGATCAAGATGTTTATCTGTCAAAAGATTGACGATTTGAAAGCTTTTTTCACTATCATTTACATTTTCTGTAAACATATTGCTAAGTAGCCACACATTTGACAATGTAGAACATAATTATGTAGAAAAATATTGTATAACTTGAGTCATCTAGAAACAAATTTGTGACAAAATCCGCGAAAGTTATTTCGGAAACACTGATACTTATTAGAATGGTTTTCTATAGAACTATTTCTATTGTCATCAACATCTAGCTGACAATGTGGTCTCTTGAATATATATTTTATGATTTTCTCCCGAACGATAGATTTACTTGAGTTTATTTTATTACGGTAGCTAGGAGATTCTCGAGAGAACAAAGAATTAAATTTTCAAGTCAAATGAGCAACGTTTCTTTGAGAGATTTACTTGAGAATTTCTTCCATATATTAGAACAAAAGTGTATGAATTAAGACTTGCTCGTTTTTTTTCTCAAAGATTTTTTGTAGTTGGAGTCTATATTTTTTAATTAAAATCTATTCTAGATCATACTCTATCATTTAATGAAGCGCCAAGATTTTCATGTTGTTTCACAAATGAGAAAAAATAGTATAGATTATACTAAGACACGATTTATTCAAAGTATCTCTAACAGTGATATACCACGAAATTATGGTTCAGAAATAAATCTGAGAGAAAATGAAGTCCATATCTGCAAATTCTAGATCGTTCTTTTCAAAAATATTGCTGAAAGTTTGAGAAAATTTCTATATTTGAAGGAAAAAAAAGTAGATAGGTAGCCAAGTAGCATTATCATTTTAAGACATTTGAAGCTTTTCAAGTCTTATAACTACCCAAAGCAATGCAATCGAAGATTGAGTTTTCCAGCATGTTTAAAGAATGATATGAGTAACATGGACAAAACATTTCGTCGTGATCGATTCATAGTGACTAGAGTTATTCTCAATAAACATATTCAATATAATGGTACAATAGATGAGCAATTCACTCAAATATTTAAACGCAAATAGTCTCATTCATAAGAAAAAATTCCATCAATTTTCAGTTGTTATCAATCTTGAGTTCAGTCTAACTTAACATAGATTACTATTCATTGTATCAAAGAATAAACCAACAACTTCGACAATATAAAGGAAAATTTTAACATCTTAGTGTCATAGTTGTTTTTAAGAATTTAACAATTTAATTAAAAAAATCATCTGATGAAAAAAACCTAGTAAATTAAAACCAAAATATAAAACTAGTTATAGTTAAGCTGATATAAATCGATCAATAAGATCAAATGCAGCTCTTGGTTGATCAGCTGGTACCATATGACCAGCATTTCGAACCCAAGCAACATAAAATGAATGTGTTTGTTTTATGTAACCAGCTACTTCTGTATCATCATCTTTAACTTTCCAAATTTTTCGTTCAGCACTTCGAAGTTGATCAGCATATTGCCATTGAAGTTTATCGACCCAATCCATTGTTACTGATGATGCTATAATAACATCAAGTAGACCATTATAAATAAGTACTTTATAACTATTAGCAATAACAGCAACTTTTCCGACGATTGTTTGCATAACATCATTTGATAAACCCATTTGAACTCTTGTACCATCATTATACGTTAAATTTCCAACATGAATTTTACGACGATTTTCACTTGCTGTTACCCATGGTACATAATAACCAAATGTAGCTGGTAATTGTGTTAATAAATAATTATAAACATCATTTAAACCAGTTGCATTAGAATAAAATTCATCAAATAAATTACCAAAGAGATCATAAGCTAAACTATATTCTTCTAATCGTATAGCATTTCGTGCTAATAATGTTTGTAAATTAACATATTCAAGTTGACGTTCATCAATTAATCCAAATTGATACATTACTGGCCCATAATCCCATTCATTATATGGATCTATAAGACCATCACCAATAGCCATACCTTTAAGATTTATTTTTATTTTTGCTTCAGGATTTTCAATATGAATTTTATAAACAATAGCTGGAACATATTTTCCACCATAGGATTCACCAGTAACATAAAATGGACACATTATATATTCATTATATAATTGAAAGAATTGTATTAACATTGCATATAAATCACGAGCTACTTCATCTTCATTACGTACATAACCTTGTTCACTTTTAGTAAAACTATAACCTGTTCCAACTGGTTGATCAAT